AATTTAGTACTGTCAATTATATTAATATATTAGAAGTTAAGGTAGATGCCTGCGGTACTTATAATTTTTGCAAACATTGGTCATAAATCGCATGAGAATGTTCATTGGTTTATTATGTAGAGCTATTGTTCCATGGCACAATGAAATATCATTCTTTTGTTTGTTAACAGTTACATTTTTTAGAAACTTGCTACTTATAGAACAATTCCATAGAATACAATGTTAGACTTTTTAAACCCCGATTCACACAACAAAAAGTACTCCACCATTAACAGTATATAACATTTTTCAGCATATGTCACCAGCCTACAGATATGGCATAAGATCTCTGCCATAGGAACCTATAGTTGAAGCGTATATTACTGACAAAATGACCTCTATCCACTAATACATTCATTTTCTCGAAAATTAGGCTTTTTTTTAAAGTCAATATCCTTATATTCTCTAAGAGTACAATTTATTGCAGAAAGAATAAATTCTGTGTATTTTCATTTATGAATAGGCTTTTATAATTAGACAAATTATGTATTATGTTAAATAAAAACTACGTGGCTGTTATATTTCTCTGTCCATGATAGTTGGCTGTGCATTCAATGAGAATTATTTTTAACATTTCCACCTGTAGCATGTATATCCATAGAAACGATCAAGCACTCCAGACAGTACTTGTTTCCTAGCTCCCATTGTCAGTACCTGAAGGTTTAATACAATTAGTAGTTTAATCTACCGTTCAAAAACTGAACATTAGATTCCCTTGGCTTTTTATTGCATTGATCACCAAACTAAGTAAGTTTTTTTTAGGTATGAATTCTCACAAAAAAAATTGTCAAACTTTCATGAAAATGGTGGTTTTTGAGCAATAATAAAAAAGTTTTTTTGGTAACTTTGTTTTTATGGGTACTTGTCAAAATTAATACACGTAGTTACATTTTGAAACAACAAATTTTGTTTGATTAGCAAATTCAGCATTTATTATCACTACTTACTTATCTAAGTTGAAATGTACATTGATTTCATTTATTATAAATACATTCATCAACATTCCATTTTAAAAGGCCTGGGTTGTGGTTGATTATAATTTATAATAAAGCTTTCACTTTGTTAATCAGCCAGTGTCTACTAAACACTTAAAATGCTAGCTACTGCTTAACCTGTAATTGTACTTTAACCTCAGCATGTGAGTTGTTATGATCAATGTACTCTGATCATGCCATGTGATTTGAAAATGACTGGTCCAGTCAACCAGACACTGTTAATGATTTTATAGTAATTGGACAGACTCATTTAGGACTCCACTCAGTTGTATGCTATGCTAGTCATGTTATGTATTGTAATTGATCTGTGATAAGGATAATAAAAGGTGATTCCTGGTTGGCTAATAGCTAAAGTGTTTGCATTATTTGACCAATCAAAAGGAGTCAAAATTTATTTGATTGTTTTTCCCAGCCAAGAAAACAAACATGTTTAACTGCCATGCCAACATTAGAAGTCAAAAAAAATAAAAAAGAAGAAATTTTGTGTTTAGGTTGAATTTTTTTGTATTTTGTGAATAGATTGATATTTATTAATATTTATTATCAAGGTTATATTTGAAAATTAAAAATTAAGATCAAAAAACAAATTTTTGAGATACATGTAATACCGTATTTCTCTATGTGGATTGCGTAGTTGAAACTGAGAACAATATCTTGTGTGACAACTCCTGTGCATCCACATCCACTTTGACCCCCCCCTCCCCTCACGTTCATGAGATTGCATTGATCAACCTATACTGAAAGTTAATCCACCTTTTTTCTCACCTTTCCACAAAAATAAACCTGAATAGTTTAACACCAGTTGAAGTGTTGTTAGGATCTTGCCTACAACTGTTCAAAGTTAAAAACTACCTATTTCAGCGTAATACTAATAGCAGGTACAATTAGAATTAATACTACATCTACATTAGATTGTACAACTTAAATAGTGTAATTTCTGCACTGTATTTTTGTGGTTGTCCCATGACATAAGTGGTTGCTGGGATAGCCACCGATTTTGACCGTGCATAGTGTCAGCATCTTTACCGCATTAAACCCTCATTCTTCCTTCATGTAGTATACATCTTTGACACAAAAACAGGACATTTATGCACAAATGTTTTTGTTTTTTACTTTTCAGTCTCTCAAGAAATTAAATCATGCCAACGTTGTCAAACTCAAGGAAGTTATACGTGAAAACGACCATTTATATTTTGTTTTTGAGTACATGAAGGAAAATCTCTATCAAATGATGAAGGATAGGTAAGTCTTTTATTTTATTTATTTATTTTTTTAAATAGGTTTTTTTTTAATATACGAATAAAGTAATTACATACGCAGAAAACAAAAGATGATCTGGTGTACGAATACAGTATTGCAGTGAGTCTTTTATTGATGGCTTGATGTTTGATTTCTGCTCTGAGTGGCATGGCCTGTTTATTATAGTTTTTGGTTTGTCTGCTTGTTTGGCCATCACAAGTGTCTTAATGTTCATCACATCAACAGGTGTGTGTGTGTGTGAGTGGGTGTGAGTGGGTGGGTTGGTGGGGGATTAATGTTGATGCATTTCCAATCAGTCACCAGGAATATGTAGTGTTTATTAAGCAGATATTTTTTTACTATACAAGCTTTAGTTTTGTACTGGGCATGTTGATATATTGTATTTTAGGTTACATTTAAAAGTTTACAAATTATTTGCAAAATATATGTATTCATTTATTTATTTATTTATTCCAAAATGCTAAAATTTGCTAGAGATAGCCAAAACTCAACACAACAATGTAACGCTAGGGATACGACAAAATATAATTTAATTGACATTATGGTACCAAGGTTATTGTAAGTATATTGTAAAATATCTTTGAAAAAGATGTGTATTAACCGTGTAAACAACTGAGACAATATGTCTCATTAACCACAGGTTATGAAGTCATCCTACCTTTGTGTCACATGTGTGTGCACTAAAAATCTATTCACTAAAAAAGTATTTTACAGTAATTACTGAATTTTGCTTAATTTATTTTATGTGATGGCTAGAATCGGCTTTAATAGTCACCCACTCAATGCCCAGGGAGGTAGTTTGTGTGCAAGACAACCAATATTATAATATATTTTTGGTTACTATGACAACCATTTAAAATCCTGTCAACATCATTTTTGTTTTCATTCTCCAATATGTAGATATTTTTGTTTTTTGTCTGAAAAAAACAAAATTCAGTTGGTGTTCAATTTTGACAACATTCAGGCTGGGAAAGAGGTTAACAAACATACATAAAATGTCTTGTATAGCATAATAACATCTCCTCGTTATACTGATTACACTTAATCGTTATTACCATTTTCAATCATTTCAAAATCTACTGATGATTTTTTTTTGAAATTCATCTCAAAACTAACTTTAATAACATTTATTTCTTCTTTAATCTTGCTCAATACAGTTTCATTTTTTTTTTTTTTTTAGATATTGTGAATTTTTCATATTGCTTTATAAGGTCATATGTTGAAAAAAATGAGGTCACTGACGTGGACTACAGAGTTAATATGCAGGACTCTATGAGGGAAACACAACCTGTTTTTTTTGTGGAAAAATTAGTTCAGTGATCATTTATTTTGGATTTTGATAATTTCAATTTTTTTAATCACAGCATAAAATAATTGTGGTCTTGGGGAAGTCATGTGACTGTCTAATGAAACCTGGGGAAGTACAGATGTCAGTATTTACTTCTATAACACCCCCCCACCACTAAATGCCAGGTTATAAATAATGGTTTTGTCATTGAGACACTCATTTTTATGATGCTCACTCACATTAGTGAATTTTACCTTCACCCAAATTAAAATTTAAAAGCACATTCTGTTTCAGATTGATTATAGAGCAAACAGCTTTTAAAGATTTCAATTTCATTCAAAAAACAAGATTTCAATTTCATTCAAAAAAACAAGATTTCAATTTCATTCAAAAAAACAAGATTTCAATTTCATTCAAAAAACAAGATTTCAATTTCATTCAAAAAACAAGATTTCAATTTCATTCAAAAAAACAAGATTTCAATTTCATTCAAAAAACAAGATTTCAATTTCATTCAAAAAACAAGATTTCAATTTCATTCAAAAAAACAAGATTTCAATTTTATTCAAAAAACAAGATTTCAATTTCATTCAAAAAACAAGATTTCAATTTCATTCATAAAACAAGATTTCAATTTCATTCAAAAAACAAGATTTCAATTTCATTCAAAAAAACAAGATTTCAATTTCATTCAAAAAACAAGATTTCAATTTCATTCAAAAAACAAGATTTCAATTTCATTCAAAAAAACAAGATTTCAATTTCATTCAAAAAACAAGATTTCAATTTCATTCAAAAAACAAGATTTCAATTTCATTCAAAAAACAAGATTTCAATTTCATTCAAAAAACAAGATTTCAATTTCATTCAAAAAACAAGATTTCAATTTTCTTCACAAATGTCTTTCCAATTCAGTCATTTACAATAACAAGGTTTTTGAAAAGTCAAGAGTGCGTGTATGAAATATACCTCATTTTATTGCTCTATTATGAAACCCATCTCTAATAGAAGCTATATAGAGCCATTGTTCGAAATATCTAGCTGTTTTAAAATCGTTACTTAAGACAATGATTACCATATATTATTCATTATATATCTAATAGAAGTGCTTATAAACCCAAAATCTCATTTGTTGAATAATAAATCATTAAAAATATGACATTTGTTTAATTTAAATTTGACAATAAAAACATCCTGTAATTTATGTAAATGTATGCACTACTACGGTAGTAGAGAAAGTGCGATACTTCTCTTTGATTGAAAAATAACCAGTAATTTACAGCTGAATCATTCACCATATTTTTTCATTATTTATTTATTTATTTAATTTCACATCCATTTCACCTAAATAGGCCAATATTATTATGATTAAACATTAAAATTATTAAAATATTGCTAAAATGAATATTCACTAAACTGTTTATATGTAGCTGTAGAGGTATAAACTAGCAACACCGTATACAATTGTTGTGAAGACATTGTTGCTGACAACCATACCTAAATTGTCTGGTATTCATAGAAATGATTAAGTACCATTATGCTTTTCTTCAATGCATAACAGTTAAATGTTATACCTGGGCGTTCACATCTGAGGGTTAGAAACTCTCTCATGAATGTTAATTTGTGTAGAGGCTCATGTACCCATTAGTATAGAATAGATTTTGGGTAATATATCCCAATACGTACAGTAAAACCAGTGTGAACTTGAACCCTCTGTAAATGAAAATATGCCTAAAAACTGTTTCCCAGCGTGTGTAAAAAGCTGTTTATAAACTGAACACCTCTGCAATCCAAACACCTTTGTAAACTGAATACTTGTAAACTGAATACCTCTGTTAACTATACACCTCTGTAATCCAAACAGCTTTGTAAACTGAATACCTGTAAACTACTAAACACCTGTAAACTAAACACCTCTATTACCTGTACACCTCTGTAATCCAAACAGCTTTGTAAACTGAATACCTGTAAACTACTAAACACCTGTAAACTAAACACCTCTATTACCTGTACACCTCTGTAATCCAAACACCTTTGTAAACTAAATACCTGTAAACTACTAAACACCTTTGTAAACTGAATACCTGTAAACTACTAAACACCACTGATAACTGAACACCTCTGTATTCCAAACACCTTTGTATACTGAATACCTCTGTAATCCAAACACCTTTGTTAACACTATGAGATAAATTACATGTGTCAACCCATTTGGCAGCTTTTAGAAAAATATCAATTCCATCTTTGAAAATAAAGTTATCCACAGTATTCAGTGCCATAAACTGGTTCTCAGTGCAATGTCTCACAGTACAGTGGTTGTTATGTTTTCTTGCAGGGACAGACTGTTTCCCGAATCAAGTATCCGTAATATTATGTACCAAGTTTTACAGGGATTAGCATTTATGCACAAACATGGTAAGTTGTACATGTATATGGATATTTTCCTCCTATCACTTACCATAAACAGATAGCTTCCTCACTTCCTAGTAACAATTTTTATGTTGGTGTACACTGCGGCTTTCTTGAGGATATTTGCTTTAATTCAGAATTATAAAAATACTATCGACTATTTGTCATTAAATCTTATCATATTTACTGTATATTTGCACTAAATGTATCCCCATGAATAAATTAAATATTTACACATTTTATTTAAAAATCACAGTTTCTGTCCTGGCAAATGTTATGGATAGATGTAATGATTATTGTATGGCTAGTGAAATAGTCAGACAGCTGTCACGAACAAAGCCAACAGTCACATTGTCTGGTACCATATTGGGATTCGGTCACCGACCAAAACAATATAATTTATATTTGAGTGTATTTGATCGTTGTCAGTGATGTGGTCAGCTGTGTTTTTTCTGCTTTCAATTATATGTATTCTGGTATTCTTATATACCATCATGTTTATTCAAACATCATGTTATTCATTACAATATCTGTATTATAGCTCTGATTGTGTCCTGTATTTAAGAGGAAGCTACGTGGTCGCATTTTGGAAAAATCCTCTGACCTAATTTTAATAAAATTAGAAATTAATGTAAACTGTGCTATAAAAAGGATTGCAATTTCAGGACAGTTTAGGAGAATTATTTAAAAAATAAATTTCATATTCATTTACGTACAAAGTCTTCCACTAATCTTGTATCCGTCACCAGTGGCAAACTTCTTTTAGTTTTGGTTACAGCAAAGTTTGACATTTGGATCACCGATGTCTGAGGCTACAATGTAATTTCAAATCATGATCATGATCAGATATATAAATATAATTGTCATCATTTTAAAACACGTAGTACTTAATATTGTCATAAAATTGTCATACAAATTTTTATTATACTGTATT